TCGTGGACGGCCCAGGGGGGGGGGGGGGGTCTTCACCAAAGCCGTGACACCTCTACATATTTTCCAGTTATTATAAACAGACAATCCCTGAACACATTACTTCTGAGAAGCAGAGGGATGGAAACTGGTTTACTCTGGTGGAATTAGAGGTGGTACCCCTAAGGCAGGAGTTCTCTTCCCCCCCCCCCCCCCCAAACATGTTACAAAAACTCCACAGCGCAACCCTGCCACAATACCTGGTTTTCTGCATATAAAAGTCAGGGTGGGCAAATGCCTGGGGGCTAATGCTGTAGGGCTCCCCTCCCCCAGCTCAAGCTCTATTGTTCAGGCTTCAACTTCAGCCCTGAGTGGTGGGGCTGCAGGCCTTGGGTTTCAATCCCATGCAGTAGGGCTTAGGCCTTTTGCTCTGAGCACCAGCAGATGTAATGCTGGTCCTGCTTGGCAGATCCTCTGAAACCACTCCTGGTAGAAAACCACTGCCCTACAGTACTTCCGTATTGAAAACTTTCATACCCATTTATTTAAAACTAGGTTTAACCAGTTAACCCATTAAGCAGGATCTCACTACTCCTCCCCACCCTACGCTTGGGGCTGCCAGTTGCCACTACCGCCCCTCTCCTATGCTTAGGGTTGTGAGAGAGGGGAGGGAGTTGGTCAGCAGAAGTAGGCAGGCCAAGCACTGGGGGAGGGGCCAGCAGCTGCTGCTCCCTTCTCGCACATGAGGCTGGAGCAGCCCTCCGCCCACAGCATGCCACAGGTCAGGCTATGCTAGTTCTGCTAATCTTGTTAACGTGAGTCCTGACCTGCAATAGTAGCACATTTCTCCTCCAACTGCCAATAATGGGAAAGTTATTAGGGATGTTAAATATCGGTTAACTGAAGAGATGATTAACCTAATGAATTCTTATTAGTTACTCGACTATTCTATAGTCCCCGGGGTGGGGCCAGCAGCCAGTGCATTCCAGCCCCACTCTCAAGGAACCACCAGCCACTCTGCGCTGCTGCCTCTCGATCAGCAGTTTAAAAACCAGCTCCCCTCACAGACCAGCTGCCTGTTACAGGGGGAATGCAGGTGGTCTATAGCAATAACCTACAAGCTTTTGTTTATTGGTTAATCAGTTAATCGACTACAGTATTACATCCCTACATGGTATTACATTCATATCTTTGGTTTTTTTCAGTGCACTTTTTGTAAAAAGAAACACAGGCAACATACAGATTATTCTGAACCACAGGCAGTTGCTCACTTGTTTTCTATCTAACCAAAGATTGACAAGTGAAGGTTTCTCAAATACTGAAGAAACTTGGAGATGCTCATTTGCTTTCACCATTCCATTTTTTAAACATGTCCATCCCTTTCAAGCACTTAGGAACAAACAAAATGTGAAGAAGGCATTGCTCTTCTAGCACCAAGTTAATGTCTATGTTTATATATCACAGTCCTAAAACTGCGGTTGCCTGGACCATTTCCTGGTATCCCAGAGGGCTTTTGGTTGCATGACTCACATGCCATCTGCTTTTAGGTCTCTAAGCTCTTTACTGCAAATCAGCTGCAAACTAGGATGAGCCAGCCTAAATGCTTCTCTTAGGGGTCCCTGCTACCAGTAGGAGTGGTACTGACAGCCACAAGTGGGAAAGAAACATCCAAAGGGAATGGGGAAAACAACAAAGAACATGCAGGGAGAAAGAGGACCCAGAAATAGTAGAGGGATGTGTAGGGTACAGAGAAAAGGAACACCAGAGAACAGATGAACATTTTCAGGGAAGCAGGAGGAAGCAATAAACAGATGGAGAGACTGGAGACATGGGGAGCAAAAGGAGACTGATTAACACTTTTCCAAAAAGGCAAAACATAATTAAAGACATACAGCTATATTCAAAAATACTTTCTTACTGTTCCTCTTCCATGTAAGCAGTTCTTGTACTGTCAGAGGGATGCTGTATAACTGTAAATGGGAAGTGTGGCATTAAGGAAGATGACAAATGTCTTGCATGGCTCCTTTTACCCTTAAACTATGCTATGGTTAAATGTTCCCACTATAAGATTTACAATTGTTCTATGCTGAAGTTATCCACTTACAAAAAGTGAACAAATAAAGCTGCTCTGCAGCACAAAAAACAAAACTGAACTTCAGCCATCCCATCATGGTGCTTCCTACTCTAGAGCCAGGTAATCATTGCAGTAATTTCTCAAATTGCTGCCAGAAGTCAAAACAAATCCTGCCCAAGGAAACAAAGAAATGCAATTTTTATAACTGATTTTGTCTGACATTCTCTTTCCCAGAAGATTTAATGCCAAAGTATCATGTTTACGTTACCTATAATTGATAGCATTTATGTAATTACTGTGCATAACCTGTATAGTATTAACAAAGATTCTAGCTAAAATTGTTAGAAAAAAATCCAGCTAATGATATTCTGTAGTAATTCAATAGATTTCTATTTACAAGGGATGAGTAAAGAATTACTTAAGTGCAGAAGAGTTGAATACTCAACTTACAAGATTTGCCCTACAAGGGTATGACTACGCTTGCACCCTATTTTGAAATAGGGATGCAAATGAAGACATTCAAAATGGCAAATGAAGCCAGGATTTAAATATCCCGTGCTTCATTTGCATAATCGTGTTATGGCGCTATTTCAAAATAAAACGCTGTGTAGACGAGTTATTTCGAGAGAAAATCCTTCTCGAAACAAACCTCATTTTATGAGGAATAAGGATTATTTTGAGAGAAGGATTTTCTCTCGAAATAACTCATCTACACAGCGTGTTTATTTCGAAATAACGCCATAATGCGATTATGCAAATGAAGCATGGGATATTTAAATCCTGGCTTCATTTGCCATTTTGAATGTCTTCATTTGCATCCCTATTTCAAAATAGGGTGCAAGCGTAGTCATACCCTTGTAGGGCAAATCTTGTAAGTTGAGTATTCAACTCTTCTGCACTTAAGTAATTCTTTACTCATCCCTTGTAAATAGAAATCTATTGAATTACTACAGAATATCATTAGCTGGATTTTTTTCTAACAATTTTAGCTAGAATCTTTGTTCACCTGGATATACTTACACAATACTTACATAATTCTGGGCCCCCCACTACAAAAAGGATGTGGATGCATTGGAGAGGGTCCAGCGGACAGCAACGAAAATCATTAGGGGACTGGAGTATATGACCTACGAGGAGAGGCTGAGGGACTTGGGTCTGTTTAGTCTCCTGAAGGGAGGTTCCAAAGAGGCTGGAGAAAGGCTGTTCTCAGTAGTGATGGATGGCAGAACAAGGAGCAATGGGCTCAAGTTGTGGTGGGAGAGGTCCAGGTTGGATATTAGGAAAAACTATTTCACTAGGAGAGTGGTGAAGCACTGGGATGGGTTCCCTAGGGCGGGGGTGGAGTCTCCATCCCTAGAGATTTTTAAGTCTTGGCTTGACAAAGCCCTGGCTGGGTTGATTTAGTTAGGATTGGTCCTGCCTAGAGCAGGGGGCTGGATTTGATGACCTTCTGAGGTCTCTTCCAGCTCTATGGTTCTATGATTCTATGAATCCATGTGGTATTCAGACTACAGAATCCAAATTTTCATTTATTTTTAAATTCCTACACCTCATGGATGTGAATTATTCAAATGAGATGCTCAGATGAATGATGAAATCAATGTGTTCTTGAGTAAATTTTACATTACTATGATAGAAGTTTACCTAGCATTTAATTTGTTGGAAACTTTAAAGAGTTTTCCCTACCAACTTTTTCACACTCGCTCTTATTTTGCTTCAAATCTAATGCTTCAGAAGCAAAGATGACTAAATTCCCTTCTGTAACTGTACATTGTTGATTGTCAAGCAGTAGCATGTATGATACTGAACTATATTTTGAAATACTGCTGCTACAAAGCAGCAGGGACATCATTTTGCAACATGACATAAAAATGGCAGCATTTTTAAATCTCTCTGTAATAAAATGGTGTTACAAAATAAGCGGGGAAACTGTGGTAAGTATTTAAATTATCTGGTCTCCTCAAATCATCCTACCAATCCCAACTCAACAGCAAAAGAAAACTAGTACAACAGCCAGCATTTACTCAATGACGATTCTGATTCTGTCTTCTGCCTTCACTGATACCCAAATATACAGTGCACTCCACGGCTTTTTCTTACATTTCTCTCTGAAAACGTCAGATTAGACATAGTATCTGCACTTTCAAGCTTCTGTTAAAAAAAGTATACCTTATATATTTATTGTACCCAAGTCAGAATTTTACTACTACTTTTCCAGATTTAAATTAAATACAGACTGTTTATTTCACTTAAGTGAGATGGTTAAGGTCTGAAAGAGAGGTTGCTCATTAGTTCTAACTGCTAGTGAGATGCTGACGTGCTACGGACTGATAGCACTAGATAAAAGGATAAAACAGAATGAGTAATTATTTTTAAGAAACTATATCAGAAATAAAGACTTTCAGTCACAATAAAGGATGTCTGAGAAAAATGACCTCAGGAGCCAAAGCCTATAGGCATTTCCACGAATTCTGAATATGACAGACTGGTAAACATGTGACAAGCCCTATTTCTTTTCTATAGGGGTATGGAAGAAACAGATACTTAAATCCTGTTCAAAGAAACAGCCAACCTCAATAGCCCACAGCAACCCAACAACAAGCCACTGTGACAGGACTGAAAGAAACTGACAGGAAGCTTTTCACCTTCAAACTAAGGGCTTGTAATGAATAGATTTAAAAAGCAAATACCAAGACCATGTCCCTTTAAAGAGCTAATCAGCAAATAAAATCATTTTGATTTAGCAGACAGTAACTTCCATTTAATGAAATAAAAGCAAGGTGGATTAAACCAACATTGGGTTTAGCTGCTTGGTTTAGAATTACACAGATTCTTCATTTAGTACACTTTTCCCAATAACAGCAGAGGCAGTGCACACTCATCTGCCATCCTACAAAACAGAAATATTAAAGGAAAGAATGGATTTCAAATGAGGGGTCTTCGAGGCTTCCAAAAAAAGGGTGCACACCAGGGAATATATAAGGAGCTGATGAGCTTACACTTCACAGATAAGCCCCATTATCTCATCAGATAAAAACTTGGACAGTTTAGTGGATTTTTTTAAAAAAATGTCTAGAAACAATTCACAGCACATACTACAAGCATACACAAGAAACAAGTCAAACACAATTACTTGTTAACTTTACATGATACCATAAAAAACAAATGCTACCGAGCCTTCATATTCCTCACAGTGTTGAAAGAGGAGATTCCTATATATCAGGGGTCTCCAAACTACGGCCCGGGGGCCGGATGCGGCCCGCGAGGCCCTCTCATCCGGCCCGTGGAGACCTTTTTGGATTCAAAGGCAGAA